GCAAGGAATACAAAGTTATGGCTGCAAAGAAGGTGCACAGAAAGCAAGATCGACATTGCATTTTGAGACACCCATTCAAATGTTTAATAGCAACGGGGAAGAAGCTGTTCTTGAACCTGTTTAGCCATGGGAAATGCAGGGTAACTGGGATAGGGTGGGGTTGGTGGTCTGGGTGTGATGTTCTTCAGAGGGTCAATGTGGACTCAATGGGCTGAATGGCCTGCTTCCACACTGTAGGAATTCCGTGATTCTAAGAATTTCTTTTTGTTCTCTTTGTAGTTCAAAATGGCGCCAGCTTGTGACAACAAAACACTTTTCACAGTATCTTTCTAGACATATGTGACAATAAATAAATAACTCAAAAACTTTTGAATATTTACCCATTATTTCAACCCTGTTCCTATCCATGTCAGTCATCTTGCAATCATTGTTGCTGCTGTGTGTCACTGGTAGAGATGAAATGTTTGTGGATGTGGTGCCAGTCAAAGGGGTTGCTTTGTCCTGGATGATGTCAAGCTTCTAGAATGGTAGTTACCCAGGCAGTAAAGGAGTATTCCATCACATTCCTGACTTGTGCCATGTTGATGATGGTTGAGATTTGGAGAGTCAGCTGGTGAGTTACTCACTGTAGAATTCCTAGCCTCTGATTTTTCTTTTGGAGCCAAGGTACTTAATTGGCTGGTCCAGTTCAGTTTTGATCCATGGTATACCACAGGACTGGGCAATTAGTGATTAGAAGATGTACTCTTTGTCCAGTCAAGGGTTGGGGAATGGTCCATCTTAATTAGAGGGTTCCCCATCACCAAAGGAAGAACAGAATCCCATTGCAGGCAAAGCAGAGAGAGAGGCACTGTCCTCTCTTCCAATATTTTGGTGTTAGGTGGCAATGACTTTACAAATAAACCTTTAACATCATTTTACATAGAAACATAAAAATATTTTTAATGATCTCTTCTCAAAATTTAACATTCCCACTGTCTACTGCTTGACAAATTACACAGATGAAACAGTACAGTAATGGGTTATTCAACCCACTTCATCTTCTCTCTACGTAAACCACCTCTCACTCCTCTTTATCTAACTCTTAACAGCATGATCGTATATTCCCTTCTCCCTCTTGTGTTTGTCAAACCCTCTTTAACTGTAGCAAGTTCTGCAATCAAACTGCTGTCCAGGTGAAGAATTCTTCCCTCAATTCCATATTGCTCTGTCTCTGATGCGGGTACTCCTTTACTCTCGCAAATAGATTAACGTCAAACTTAATCACCGCCGGAATTGTGTTGTGATATTTCAAAACTGAATGATTTTGCAGCTTTCACAAGATACAGCCACAGTTTTGGAACAGTACAATCTTAAAGTCAGTGTGCCAAATGTACTGTAAAATTATGTGTCAAAAATAGCAGCTGTATGATAGCCACAGAACTGTGTTTCATACATTCTTTGACCAAATGTGATTCAAACAGCAGTTGCCATACTAATTTCATGTTAGTGTGATGTATTTTCAGGTGAGTGTTATCACTCAAGTGGTAATACAACTTACAGTTCAGGTCTTCAGTTGACTCTGAGGCGAGTAGTGTGAGGCACTGCCATACAAAGCTGTCATGCAGCATTTCGGTTTCACGTTGAGCGCTGTGTGACTCCAATCCAGTTGAGATTACTAATTCTCAGGTTATTTGTCGAAACTGCCAGCCTCTTTCTAAAGGTACTGTAGAATCTTTGCAATGAATGAAACTAACTGTTCTCTGCTCTTATTAAAGAGTAGCTGACAGGGAAAATTGAGCTTTGTGCATGCTTTCAGAGAGCGAGATACCATCAAGTGCAGCCTGTAATGTCACAGCCACTTGAAACTGTACCCATTATGCAGTTTATATCGTGTTGTGTCACAGCAGCATCATAAAATTTATTTTAAACAGCATTGCGTCATTAAGCAAAATACTTTCCAAGCGTTCTTTGCTAGTTAATAACACTCAACATAATGATCTAGGATATAAACAGAAATTGCTAGTGAAGTTCAATAGGTATGTAGAAAGAAAGTAGTGTTAATGTTTTGAGTCTGGTGACTCTTCGTCAGAACTCATGATGATCTAGCAACCACTCTCATACCTGACAAGGTCTGTTGTCATTGTGACTAAAAGATGGCCTGAGACTTTTTCACTTTCATTTCTCTCCAAGCGCATTTTCACAAAGATAGTGAGCTTTTAGACAGAGTACGCTTATTGTACACTGCTTGAAGTTGTATTTCACAGTTTGCACACTGGAAGATTGGAGTTACAGGCCAAGAATGTTTTCTTTAATATTAAGAATAATACCACAAATATTTGAGGTATCTGATATAACTGTGACATTTACCATAACTTATGTACATCAAATAAATTTAACTTGCTGTTATAAAATTTAATGTCCTTTGTACTGTAACTATCTGTAAGTATAATACAGCAGAATGACTGCATGGGCCTAAGAAAGTGGGACAATCTCGTAGAAATGGTGTCATCATTCCATTCAGAGATGTTCATCTTGTAGCGAGTCACATTGAGCGTCTGAATTGAGATTCCAGGTCTGACAGTGCTAGAGGTGGGATTTCAGAATCTAACAGAAAATTCAGAAGAAATTTGCAGAGGAACAAAGAAACTCTAAGGTTCCAGGATATGCTGTGCTAGTTTTGCAGGTACTTGCTAAGCAGGTGGAGAGACAGGTAAATATTGTTAGAAGTCCAGCTCACCACTTTCACATGCCCATTCCCCTTCCCCAAGCTATTGCCCATGATAGGATGGGCGAGTGAGGTGCCCAATAGATTGCCTGCCTTTAGACCTAATGAGACCCTTAACTGGACAATGAATTGGCAATTAACTCCCTAAAGCATTCTCCATTGCCATAAAATGCGAGGTGGTGAGAGGCCAGTCAGAGTGTGAGAGCCAGTTTTGAAACAGCTCTTTTGAAAAGGTAGGAAGGAGCTTGGGGAAGGTGGTTCATTAGGAAGGCATGCATTGGGGTCACCACGGTGTCATCACTGCAACCCCAATCCCCATCTTGTTCCTTCCTGCTTGTCCTGTATAACTCAGCCCACCACTCCAATCCCCCACCCCTCTCCTTAAAATAGGGAAGCAATAGCAGAACATTTGGAAAATCACACTCTAATCAAACAGTCATCATGGCTTCATGAAAGGGAAATCATGTTTGATTTTTAAACGTTCTTTGAGGAAGTCTCAACCAGAGTGGATACTGGTGAACCTGTAGATGTGTTGTTTTTCACTTCCAGGAGGCATTGTGACAAAGTACCTCACAAAAGCTAAGTCCTATGATAAGAGCCCAAGGTATTGCAGGTAGTAAATTGGCCAGGGGAGAGAATTGACTAATGGGCAGGAAAGAGCGAGTGGGGATAAAGGGTATTTTTTTTCAGATTGGCAACATGTAACCAGTGGGGAGATACAGAGATCAGTGCAGACAATACAAAAACAGGTGGAAAGGCAGACTGTGAAAGGAATATAAACAGTTTACAGAGAGATACTGACAGGTTAAGTTAGTGGTCAAAATGTGGGAAAATATAAAGTTCATTTTGGAACGGAGAACAAAAGAACAGAATATTGTGTAAATGGAGAAAAGCAGCAGAGAGGTGCAACACAAGGGGACTTGGGGATTACTTATGCACGAAACACAGAAAGCTAGCACACAGGTGCAGCAGATAATCAGGAAGGCTATTGGAATGTTGGCCCTTATTTCAAGGGGATTGGAACATAAGAGGCAGGAAGTCTTTCTGCAACTGTACAAGGTGCTGGTGAGACCAGATCTGGAATACTGTGAGCAGTTTTGGTCTTCTTATTTAAGGAAAGATATCATTTCATTTGATGCAGTTCAGAGAGGGTTCAGTAGGAGAATCGCTGGTCTGGAGGAATTGCCTTATGAATAAAGGTCAAACAGATTGGGACTTTACCCACTGGAGTATAGAGGAAACATACAGGATGCTTAAAGGGATTGACAGGGTAAATGCTGAGAGGATGTTTCCCCTGATGGGAGAGTTTAGGGGACCAGAGGGCAGAGTCTCTGAATAACAGGGTACTTAAATTTAAGACTGATATAAGGAGTAATTTCTTCTCTCAGAGGGTTGTGTGTCTTGGAACATAACTGTGGGTGTTGAGTCCTTGTGCACATTTAAGGTTGAAATGGATTCTTGATCAGTAGAGGAATCAAGGGGAAAGGACAGGAAAGTGGGCGTGAGGAATGTCAGATCAGCCGTGATCCTTTTGAATGCTGGAGCAGGCTTAAGGGGTTGAATGGCCTACTCCAGCCCCTACCTCTTACGGTCTTATGATCTTATCCCCATAATATTTGTATCCTTTACTGATTAAAAATCTGAGTTAAGAATTTCATCCTTATCTCTGTCTTAAATGTGCAACTCTCACACTCTGAGATTAAGGTCCTAGACTGTCCCACAAGGGAAACAGTCTCTATGCATCTACCTGCCAAGTCCTCCAAGAATACTGTACGTTTCAATAAGGCCACCTTTCATTCTTCTATAGCCCAATGAGTACAGCTCAAATCTACTCCACTTCTCCTCATAAGACTATCCTTCTATTCCTGATATTGGCCCAATGAGCCTTTTTTGACTTCCTCCAATGCCAGTAAATCTTTTCTGATATAATGGGCCCAAACCTCTTTACAGTATGCCAGCTGAGGTCTGACTAGTGCCTTATATAGTTTAAGCAAAATCTCCCTATTTTATATTCTATTCCCTTTGAAATAAAGGCCAACATTCTAATTGTCTTTTTTCATTACCTGTTGAATTGCATGTTAAGTTAAATGCCTGCTTTGTCACAATAAAGATATCTTCCTGATATTTTAGATGACTTTTTGTGTGTATGAGCACATTTCGCCACTTAAAGGTGCCATTTACATGATTCACAGCCTTTTAGTTATTTCTTGAAATGAAACACTTTGACTATCGTAAAAACAAACCAGTCAAAATTTGTCAGATTCAGACTAATCTGTTGCACCTTCTGTTTCAGCAATCAGTTGTGGTATTCCTAAAACCCCTGGAAATGGCTCAGTCTTTGGCAGAGATTACAGTGTGGGCAGCAAGGTCAACTATCAGTGCAGTGAAGGTTTCACACTGGAGTCCAGTCAACAAGCAGTAGCAATCTGCAGAGAAGATGGAATATGGAGTAATAATTGGAAGACTCCACATTGTAAACGTGAGTTTTTTTTTAATGCTATTATTGTACATTTATGAGGATTTATGAGTAAAACGCTCTTTTATAATCCTTTGCTCTATTTTATTTAAAATAATTATTTGTAGTCTGAAATCTTTGTAACTGGATGGAATCAGATGACCTGCTTCCTCCAAAATCAATGGAATACTTTATGTTGCTTTACTCTAACATACCTTTGAAATGCATACTGCAAAACTGATACTTCTTCCATCTTTGTATTTTGACAAAAACTGCTTTAATATGCAGCTTGCTAGGTGCCATGAGATACATCTCTCAGAACATCTAGTGCCTATTCAACCCATTGTCTGAAAATGTGTCTCTCCTTAAGTGTAGAAGGTCCTTCAAATCCTTATTTTTAATTATCCCTTTCATGTAATTTAGATGTAATATCTAATACTGATGATTACTGAAATAGGAGCACACTTTCTGAGATCTAAATATACACTTATTAAATAAATGCACAATTATGTCATGTCTTTCATGACTACAAAATGCCCTAATGAATAATTTATTTTAAGTACAGTCACAATGGCAATGTAGGAAATGCAACATCCAGTTTTTAGACAATCCCTAAATCAGCAATATGATCAGGAACGGAGTCACCATCCACCAGTAGATCTGCCTGAACTGTATTTAACCATGTCAGGTCTTGACTGCTGGAACTACTCACTATGCCAAACTTGTCTTGGAATGCAAATATCACCTCCTGACTTCTTTACTGCAAACCGTCTTCTTAACCCTATTCACTTGTCTCATCAGCCGTCCTGCTTTCAATCACAAGCACAAACAGTTCATGTAGTTTCTTGTCACTAAAATAAAGATCATCTGGCCAACTTCTTCCCTCCTTTCCATTAGCCTGCATACTTCCCTAAAATGTCCCCCAAATCGTCAACTTGCATCTTTCTCTTCACACCCTTTTATCTTCTCTTCTATTACGGCGTCTCATCCAAGAAACCCAACTTCTTCTCCCTCAGCTATTTTCCCACCCAACCTCCCTTCCTGCCCACAATGTTTGCTGCTGACAATTTTGTTCCTCTTTAGGTGTTGTCCCCCTCTGTTTTAAAACTGCTGTCATCACCCATCCCCACAGAAGCTACCATTTGATTCCACCATCCTTGCAACTGATGACCCTTATTTACAACCTCCCTTTCCGCTCCAAAGTTCTTAAATATGCTGTCTCCTTCTCAATCTATCCCTCACCATTCATGGAGCTGCATGTCTGACTCCTTCTAATTAGGTTTCTGCCATAATACTGAAATGGCTCCTATCACAGTCACAAATAACATTTGATGTGACTGTGACAAATGTAACTTATCTCACCTTGTACTTCCTGATCTGTCACAAGAGCATTTGACACCTGGCAGGGTGTCCTCACCTGGTTCCATTCTGATCTATAAAATGATAACTGGAGAATCCTTTGCATTGGTGTCTCTTCCTGCTTCTAGACTAATACGCCTGGTGACCCTCAGAGGTGAATCCTATTTCTGATCTATCTGCTGCCCCTCAGTGACATCATCTGAAAACATGGTTTCCTCATGTAGATATTTCTTATCAACCAGTAGAGCTATGTTATAACCTACCTCTGGAGCAGGTGGGACTTGAACCTGACATCCTGGCAAGTTTCCACATGAATGCTTATAACACCCAGCTCGACATCATCGCTATCCCTCTCAACAAACCAATGTTGATGGAGGTTTTGCAATGGAGAATGCACCAGTCAACAGGTAACTGCCATAATTGGACACATTAAGACTTTATTTTCATCTTAACAAAAGCTTTGGTCACTCCCTTGCACATTCCCTATGTCAATATATTGAGCAATTAGAGCTGAATTACCTGGTTTGAGTTCAAACAAAAGATTGCCACTGTGCTGTTTGCTGATACATGATTCTCCATGACAGTGCTTCCGTCAATCAAAGTCCTTATTTTCCTTTCCTTAAACTTGAGTTTACCCCAAAATCTGTTGCCCTGTTCTTATTCACAACTTGTCATATTCACCTGCCACCTCTGCACTCCCTAATGTTAAATGATTACTGGTCAAGCAACACCTTGATTTTAAAATTTGCAGACTTATTTCCGGATCCTTCCATGGCTTCACCCATTTCGATCTCTGTTCTCCTCCTGTCCTACAGTCCTTTGGGATATCTGTGCTCATTGAATTCATGCTTCTTGATCATCCTCGTTTTCAATAGCTATACTGCTTATCCCATACCTTCACTTGCCCTCAGTCTTAAACTGTGGAATTCCCACCCTACTCTTCTACATCATTTTATGATGCTTTTCTATCCTTTGGATACTCCTGATAAATCTCAAATTTGACCAAATTTTTTATCCTACTTCTAATGGTGCAACACTTTCTCTGTATCATTTATATAGTTGTGGTCAAGTTCAGGAGGGAACTTAAATCCACAAAACTTCTGACTCAGAAATAAATGCTTCCAACTGAGTTACAGTAGCTGCTTATATTTACATGTTGGATATTCTTGTATAAATATATATCAGGCCTGAAGATATAGGAGCAGAAGTAGGCGAAAACTGTTCACAGTATTTCTAGCTATGGTTGAACTCGTGCCTTGTATAATTTTAGCAAGACTTCCTTATTTGCAACATTCCATTTCCTTTGAAACAAAGGCCAACATACTATTTGCATTACCTATTACTTGCTAAACTTGGATGCCAGCATTCTGTGATTTAAGCACAAAGACCTTCAAATGTCTCCATGCTACAGCTTTTGACAATGCTTTTCTCCATTCAAATAATATTAAGCTCCTCCATTCTTCCTGCCAAAGTGCATAGCATCATGTATTCCCACATTACATTCCATCTCCCAAGTTTTTCCCACTCCCTTAACCTGTCAATATCCCTCTCGGGCTCTTTGTGTCATCCTCAAAAGCTTGCCTTCTCAAGTATTTTTATGTCATCCGCAAACTTGATGACAGTATCTTCATTTCCCTCATCCAAGGCATGAATAAGTATTTTAAATAATTGTGGCCCCAGCACTGATCCCTGCGACACATTTCTCATGATATGTTGCCATCCTGAAAAGTTCCCCACATATCCCAACTCTCTGTCTTATGTAAGTTGGCCAATTGTCTGTCCATGCTAATATGGTACCACCAACCCCTTTTTCTTAAATTTATTCTTATTAAGTAACCTTAATTGAAGGTCTTTCAAAAATAAATAATGCACCCACTAGTTCCCTTATAACTATCTTGTTTGTTAACTGCTTAAAACATTTTAATACATGATTTCCCTTGCTGACTCTGCATGATCATATCATGGATTTCTAAATGCTCTGCATTTAGACTCTAATAGATTCTAACACTTTCCCACTGGCACATATAAAGCTAACTGGCCTATAGTTACCAATTTTTTATCTCCTTCCTTTTTTTGAATAAGTGTGCCACATCAACGATTTTTGAACGTCTTCTACTTCTTACTAGTGAAGGTCACCCACCAACCTTTCACCCTGTCTCAACATTTGAAAAGTCAAATTCCTCTGAATATTTTGATCCCAGCTTTGATATCCTTGTAACCATATCTCTAATATCGTTATAAGTTCAGGACGAAGTAATTTATATATTATTTGTTTAAATGGATATTATTTAGACTGGGATGTCTCATGCCCCAAGTGGAAAGGTTATGTGGAAATGCTAAAGTGGTGAAACCTATTTTCTTTAGAGGATGACTGAAGATCATTTAACACAATGAAAAGTTTAATTTCCCCAAAATGAGGTAAAGTTAAAATCATAGTCTAAAACACAAACATCAAGCAAGGTTTGAAAGAAAGGAAAAAAACTTTTCTGCTACAGGGTATTGGATGTGTGGGTTTAATGTCTGGAGAATGTTTTGAATAAGATCAATCAATTATATAGATTAAAGGTTTCAGAAATGTTACTAAAACTGGTGGATTTATTTTCCTGCAATGGTGTGGGAACTAACTTGACCTTTTAATTTTGTATATCGGTAGTTTATGTCAACTGGACTATAATGTTTGACAACCTGTGTATCCTTGTACATGAATCACAAAACATAAGGTACAGCAAATAATTAGGAAGGCAAATTGTGGCTTAGCCTTTGCAAAAGGATTGGAATTTTAAGAGCCTTACTGCAAGTTATGTTGAACCTGAAGGGATGCAACAGTTGCTTACCAGACAAATTCCTGGAAGGAGGGATTTTGGAATTCTCTACCACAGACAGCTGGCAAATTTAACTGTTGAATACACTCAAGAATTAAATTGATTGACTTTCGGATGCCACAGGAATCACTGTATGCAGTGATAGTGCTGGAAGTAGATTTGAGGAAAAGGATCAGCCATATTCTTGTTGAATGGCAGAACAGGCCTGGAGGACCAAATGGCCTATTCCTCCTTCTATTCCTTATCTTCTTATGCATATGCTAAACTCATAGGTAGTGAAAGTGAAATGACAGAAGTAGTAAATGTTTGCTTTGTCTCAGGATTCTATCTGTGCATATTGAAGGAGATAGAAGAGACACCATTATATATATAAAAGTATTTGTGAGTAAAAGGAATGGTACCCAAGGTCGAGTGGACAGCCATTATTAGCGCAATTAATCATGCCGAGAAACTAAGTCTGAGAAACTGTAGGCCAGCTACTTTGATGCTGCTGGTAGCTTAAAATAAAGTAATCTTTACTGAAAGCTGTATTAGAACAAATATCTAAAAATGGAAAATTTAATGAAGAATAGTGCGCCTGGATTTCTCATGAGATGATCATGTCTTACCCATCTTATTCAATTCTCTGAAGCAAAAATAGAAGCATAGGTAAGGAATATTATTAGATGTAACATGTCTGGATTTTCAAAAGGTCTTTGATAGGGTAAGCTCAACATTAAGACGAGAGTAAATGGCATCAGGACAAACAACAGTAAAAGAGAAAGACTTCAATTTACCTGGTGCCTTTCACAACCATCCCGAAGCACTTTATAGTCAATGAAAAACCTTTGAACAGCTGTCACC